AGCAAACGATCAGTAATGGTAACAGCCACATCTGTACTTACTGTACCCAAGCCACAATTTTGCTCGGATCTTTGTATAAATATAAAATTGATTCAAGTGAGATATTTTCTAGGAATAGAGGCTTCCAAATAAACCCATATTTATACCCTTTTTCACAGGACAGAGCTAAAATAGAATTCAGATCTCTCCTCAAAATGAACTACATATTCCCAGCTCCTGTGTGGTAAACAAAGAACTCCCTTCTGCCTGGCAATCTAAGCAACCGGCACGCTAACTGCACAGAAAGGGAAGTGTGACAGCAGCAGGGACAGCAAACTGAGAGACCTTAAAATAATGAAAATGAGATTGCAGCTAATGACAAAAAGCTGTCCTTTTTTCCTCCTAGCTCTCAGCTCTTGAATACGTTTTATTTCAAATCTTATTCATAATTCACTGCTTAGTGCTTGTCAATAACTATCCAATCTGGTTTTTTTCCCTCCCTGAGGAAATAAGAGCTGCATTTTGATCAAGAAAAGGCAGAGGGGAGGTGTCACTCCAGGACCTTGATTTACCTTAACTGTTTTCTCCTTTATGCGTGTACATTCTCTGCTGTATTGCACAGTTCAAAACATGAAGGGATTATGCTCTATGGCAAAACTCAGTCAGAACAATCTGAAGAAGATCTAAGGTCTGATGAACTGCTCCCTGGCATATCAAACCACTGGCATGAAGATCTTTCAGAGAAAAGAACCCAACAGAAAAACTGTTGTGTTTATATTATGGGAAAAAAAAACTAAGCTAGAGAGGGACTTGGTGACTTTCTTGGTCATGGATAACAGCTGTCTTATGTCTCAGGGTACAGCCCTAACCTCTGCAGTGTTTTTTCCATTAAAAATACTTGGAAAAATATTCTTTTTTTCTTTCAAAATCTGTCAAAAAAAGTCTTTTAAAGAGCCTAATATTTCTGGTATTTTTTTTTTCCAATCAGTGCTACTTCTGTGTTGCAAATGGGATGGCTACTGGGTTTGCAGAAGTAGGGATACTAGTAACACCGTCAAGAACTTTTCACCTACGTCACTGAATAGAGCATGATGTGGTTTTGTAATGAATGAAAGAAAAACTGAGCTGCAGCTGTCAGGTAGTACTGTAAAGAGAGTTGTGAAGGGAGTTTCAGTTCACTTCTTAGCAGACAGGTGTCTGCATCCCAAAAGCACCATCACAGCTGGCGCAGACTGATGCTGTTGTTAGCAGTCTCAGCAGAGAGGCCAAGAACTGATCTGAGAGTTTATTTATAAATATTTTAGCAGACTGAAGAACCAGGAGGAGTTTTAAATTTACATTTCTTTATACATACTCCCACTCAGAATCTGTGAGCTTAGTAAATCTGTATAAAATCATCACCAGAGCCTGACAATAGGATTTACAAGGGCAACGTATCCATAAAGGCAGAAACCTCCACTGACAAGCAGGCAATCTCACTTTCCAAAATTATTTTAATTGCTAATTTTTTTTAATTCCCCAAAACATTAGCACAGTGTTAATGAAGGATACAATCACTACACAGTGCTCACTCTTGCAGGGTCTCTGTTGCAGTGACGGGATGTATCCTGGATGAAAAGATTCAGTGCCGAATGCCAGGAGCTCAACACTGTGCACCTAATCGTGCTCAGGACCACAGGGCACAAGATGAAAGAGCAGACTAGAAGACACTTGCTCTGAAGGTTGCAGGAGGACAATGCACGCATACGCAGGATAGAATACAATGCAGGTTCTGTGGCACGAAGTGAGAAGCCACCACTTTTGTCAGAAATGTAAGAAAAGCATACTTTGTTTTATTAGCAAAGCTGCAAGTAACAGTCCAAACAGTTCTGACCTTTAAACAGTTATATCATGTTCCCAGCAAACTGCTATACCAGCCAGGAGAGCCGGACAAATCAGGTGGACTCCAAAATGTGCTAATGGGTCAGTTGCACCGTGACAATGTTATGAGGGATTCCTTCTCAATGCCCACTGTTACATACGGAGGAGAATTGTGAGGCTAGAGAAGAGACACAAAGGTAATCTGCCCTTGTGATTCAAAAGAGAACCTAAGTTATTTCTTCCCAAAAACTCCACCAACTCCACTCATTCTTTTCTCAGGAGGAAACACGCAGGAGCATCAGTAAATCAACAAGTTACTTTAGTTATTCAACCGTAGCTGCCATAATGTGACAAACGCAGCCTTGCTCACGTGACTCGCAGCAAATGCCTGCTTACCGTGAGACGTTTCGAGGCATCCACTTCAATCATCCCCCGCAAAAGGTTCTGACAGTCCGGGGGGATAAAATGTGGCATGTGGAACACTCCACGTTTCACCTTCTCCAACAGTTGCCGCAAGTTGTCGTCATCGAAAGGCAGGGCACCCTGCAGGGATGTGACAGAGTGGTGGATGGGAGAGAGGAGTGAAAGGGCATTGGAGAGGACAAAAGGAGAAAAGCCAAGATAAACATGGTGAGAGAATGAAAAAGAGGAGGTCAGCTCATAATGAATTATTGTAAGTGAAAAAACCTTTCTATCCATTGAAAATAAACAATTTCTTCGTGCTGCTGTATTTTCTTCAACATAGGAAACAAAACTGAGGACATAGGGTTTTTGTATTAGACCTTTAATTAGAAAATGACTAGCAGTATAAAACATAATATGAAATATGAAATTGCCTTCCCAGGCAAATTCACCAAAGATGCATGGATTCACTTAAATTCAGTCAAGCTTTGATCTGCTGGTACTCCTCCTGGGCATACTTTCACAGCAGCAATGTTTATCGTCTCCTTATTTTTAATCTTCCTGAGACACATTTATTGCAGACATCGAAAAGGAGGTGAACAGCATTTGAGAGACTTTCAGTAAAGAGCATCCTCCTTCTGATGGAGCAGTGAAAAGACACAGCTGAAAGAAACCCTAACCGGCATTAGCCTTTGGAAGCAGCGGATGTTCTACCTGTTTAATATACTCCATCAGTTCCCATGCTGCGGCCAGGTCATCAGTTCCTATTGCTTCCCTACTGCAGCTCACTTACACGAATGGCTTGAGGTTTTTTTTAGCTGAAATTACGTTTTGAATAGATCATCAGCTTGCCACAAAAGCAGCAAAAGATCTATCCTTGCTGCAAGGACAAAAAGAAGTTGAAATCTTTAGGATAACGCCACGGAGTGAAGCTGGTACACTCTTATAGCAAGTCTGCACCTTCCTAGACGTTCTCACTTCCTTCTTTCACTGCCTAATTCTAGTAGGTGCTGAGCTTCCTTGATTTCCAGGATGGTTTGTGGGAAGCTGCAAGCTGTCAGCTGCTGTGATAATGAAGCTTTAAGTTGTCAATTCTGGCACTGCTCTTACTACAGTGAGTAGTGCATCTGTATAAGCAATCCTGTGCCTATGGCTTACAGAAACCAACAGCTCCATTTTCAGAAGCCTCAGAAAGCCCACCCAACGGCAACCACTGCTGGGCACTCCTTACTCTTGTTTGTTCATTCAAGCGGCCTTGAAGACAGAGCCTCCCTGTCTTCTGTAACCAACCTCCTGAGTCACCTACTTTTTTCCTAACTGTTCCAGACTTAAAGGAAAATCAATTCCGATAGTTCAGTACTTTGGCTAACGCAATTTAAACCACGATGAAGTCAGCAAGGCTGCTTTGTGGCATTTCCTGAAGGTAACAACTACAGCTCTTTTATTACTACCACCTGCTATTACAGCTTGAGACTTTTTGTAGGGTTTGTCCTGACATAATTAACTGGAGAGCTCTGCACTCTCTGTCAATAATAGACCTATTTCAATCGTTTTGCAGGCTCATGTATATACGTAGGAACTGGTGAAGATGCAGCAACAGAAGGACACCAAATCTTGACAGAGAATTCCCCTGAAAATGAAAAGCCCACTCCTACAGATCCTCACAATCTTGACACATTCTCTCTTCTATTCTTACAAATTCAAGAAGTTATATTAAAAAGTCATTATACAGTTCTATTTTATTAGCCATGAAAATAGCTGCTCAGGAGCAATAGATGACCAGGTGCTATCTAGTGAGACAGATAAAATTCTTCCCTTGCAACATCAAGATAAAAAAATCTAAAACTTCCAAAATGTCAGTGAATTGTAATGACTAAGAACTAAAAAAGGGTAGGATCAGGTAAGGTGAATTAAAGCATCATACTGAGATTACTTCAAGGTATTTTGATTTGGGCCATTAAGAAAACTATTAGCATATTTTTTGAAAAAAACTTAAAATTTTCAAGTATTTTAAACAAAAATAATGTGCAGAATCTAACTCTGATTGCACATTGTAAAAGTGCTTTTGTCAAAATTTCGTCAACATTTAAGTGAAGCAATTAGGTTTATTAATAAATGAACAAGGACGTCAAAATTTTACTTCAGGCTTGTTATATTTATAATTGTAGGTAATCAACTGAACTATTAGGGACATAAAATACTTAACAAGCACATAAAATCTACTACCAAACAGTATTTTCCTACATTATACTATGGAAATTGATGACAAATGCCAAGCCTATCTGCCTTCAGCTGGATACCCAATTGTTGTATGTTTAGGTATTACATTACCACTACAAATCAGAAAAGATTCCACAGAGAATTGAAACTTTGATCAAAAGAAGGCTAAGTTACATGATACCACATTTTGAACACTAAAGGAAGCATTACTGAGCCAGATGGAAACTAATTTAAACTTGGTACTACTGGCTGAGTTTTATATTCCCAAGTGTACCAAATTAAAATGTAGCTCAACACTTGCATGAAACAAAATTGTTGCACTCAAATCCTCTCTTGATAAAACCCTGCACTTAATGTATGCATATATCTACCAAAATACATAGATACATCCAGGAGAAAAAACAGACACTTCCCAAACCCAGACATATTTTGATCCTGTGAAGGACTTCAACTTATTTGACATTCTCAGTATCCTGGAGTCATAACCCTGCACATCCTTTCCAGTCAAAAAATGTGCTGCAATATTACAACACAGCAGAGCATTTATGGAGACGAGTTTTTGATGCTTGTCTACGCTCTCCTGTGCAGGGCAGCAGCATTTCAAAGCAGCAGTGAAATATTCCTCATGCTTTTCCTTTGGGACTGATGTAGAAATAACAGGAAAAGCTGCAACTGAGAGATACAAAAATAGGGGAACTGAAAAAACACAGCTGTACATGATGTCAATAGTATCACCATTAAATCCAGCGGCATTTTCGGATTTTTCTTTGCTTTTTAAAGGGTAGCGCAAGGAAGATGACTCACCACTAGCAACGCAAATAAAATTACTCCACAGCTCCAGACGTCTGCTTTCCTTCCATCGTATTTTTCTCCCTGCGCAGCAATGACACGGAGGTTGAAAAGACTGCTCACTAGTATATGAATTAATTACCCTTGAAGAACAAGAGAGGGGAGAATGGGAAACCCCACCTTTCATTTCAGCCACCTGCTTCCCAAGGTGGTCTTCCCAACCAGGAGGCCATGACACAGCCCGTAAATTGAATTTTTTTAAGAACATCAGTTTACAGTCTTATCTGGGATCCGCAAGAACTGGCTCAGAAGTGGGGAGCAGGGCAGGAATGGTTGACAACTCAGAAATTATTAGACCTGGCACTTAAATGGCATCAGAGGTTCATTAAGGACATTGAGAAGGTGTTTTTCTCTTCCCTGGTTCTTCAGGGAGCTTGTCACCAGTCACATTATTTAAAAACTCATAGTATTGTCTGGACAGTCTCTTCTGTATGCTTCCTGCTTGACTTTACATTAAAGATAGGCTTTAAAAGAGGGGAATCTTGGCCACTGAAATCTTGGATATTTAAGAGGACAAAGGAAGAGTAGAGGGAAATGATAGTTCATCTCGTTTAACAGAGACCAACACCCCTGACAGCCAATCCCAGTTCTGCTACTGAAATGACAGTTAGATCAGCGACAGGGAAGCGTAGGGGACTGCATCCCCTGGGTGAAAAGATCAAGTTGAACAAGGCTACTGTATTTCTGGCTGATCACATGGCACAACAGGTACTGTGAGAATAGCACAACATCATTTCCCTCATACAGTCGATGTGGCTTGATTCAGGGCTGAGCCAAGCAGACAAACCCCTAGTTATGTTCCTTGTGTCCTTTCCAATGGCGTCTGCCTTGGACAGATTCCCCGGACAGAGCGTCTATCCGTGTACTTGCAACAAGTCACACATTAAAAAATATATTTGCACACACTAATGTTAACCAACTTACCCGGATGACTTCAGGGCAAGCATAATGTGGTGATCTGAAACACAAAATACAGTCAAATGAGCATGTAACAACCTGATGTTGTGGATTACGTGCATTTCCATTTTGTTTAGAAGAATCATGATTGGCTCACGTATACAGAATGCAAAACCAGGACTTTTTTCCTTACCTCAACGAGAACAGATTTCTAAGAAATTCAGAAAACCGTCAGGAACAAGCATAATTCAAAATTCTATGGCCCTACTAAGAATTTCTCATAAGCGAGGAAGGAAGAGAAGACCAAGCATATTCTGTGACTATATGGAATTCCAGCTCTCTAATCTCTAATCAGATTGCTCTCAATTACTCCAGTGGTCAGTAAAGCTGCCAACACATGTTTTCAGCATGCAATTCTTTTTTTTCTTTTAAAAACCAAAAAAGAATGGACAGTAGTAGTAAGTTAATGTATTCTTTCCACAGCCTTCTACCCATATATCTCTGGTTTGATTCCTGGCTGAGAATAGTTAATTACTTCAACTTGCCAGGTAATCATTTTAATTCCTAAAGATTATAGCCACAGCTATTTATTTTATAGCCTTCATTAAAGTAAGTTGACAAGTAAAAGGGATGCAAACTGTCTGAGACCTGTGTGCAATCATGCTATTGTTCATACTGACACCTCCCAGGAGTCCCTGAGCCTGTCTTCATTTGTGCATTTGTTTCGTATGACAAATGTAATCATGGCTGGGCAATACCCGTCTCCCAAAGTAATGAGCAAAACAGAAGCACAGTAAGGTTAGCTTTGTGCTAGGATGCCACATTAATGCCCAGTGAGACAGCCCGTTAATTGAATTTCCATACACACTACACTTATCTTATGGCAAAATATCATCCCGTGGGCATGGAACGTGCTGATTTGGTATCACAGCTTTTGGCAGACCATGATAATAAACCCAGGGTACAACTGGGAGTGCAGCTACTTTGACAGCAAAACTTACACAAGAAGAGAGAAATGCAACTGATCCCTAACAAATTTTAGGAAAGGTGGAATTCAGATGTTTAGTACAATATTTAATATCCACCCCTTGCCCCTCTCATTTAAGAAATTATCACTCTAACCAGGTCTACCTGCTCAGTACTGATCCCAAGTATCTTAATTTAGACTGGGTTTTAAAAACCTCAATTCAAGAGTCAAAACAGATAATGAAAAAGAGAGTCTTCCTTCAGAGAGCTGGCCAGCTGGCCCTTGGGAGACCAAAAAGAACGGACTTGTGCCTGGCGAGTAGGACAGACTACCTGGGCTCTCCTGCCAGCCATATGCACATGGACAAGGTTACTTAATGCTTTTAAAAGCTGCAGCTGGATGGTTTGAAAAAGGTGAGCAAAAACTCACCATGAGTCTACTCTTCTGACTAAAACAAGATGCAGCACAGCTTTCATACCTCACAAAAGTTTGCATGAATAAATTCACTGGGATTTGTACAAAGCTTTAACCTTTTAGGGCAAAATCTACAATAACAAAGAGTGTGATGGCAACAACAATGAAATAAAGCTAAAGCAGTCAGTAATGTTAACAAAATAGTTGCATATTGACTAAGCAGGGGCTGATTTGGAGGACTTGCAGCATATTGCTGGCTGTTCCTGGAGAGAAAGTGAGGCCAGAGTGAGACACTGAACTGCTTGATGTTATATATGTGTTCCCAACCCTCCAACCTGTATTGTTCCCTGTGAATTTGCTTCTTTCTATCAATCCAACACCTCTTTTTTTTAATACCTCAAAGCCTTAACCACTAAACAGTTGTGTCACTGGGCTAATGCATGATTTAGTAAATTTTTAGAAGCCAAGTTAAATTATTCTTGTGGGAATTGCTTGACTAGGGGTGTTGTCTTATTTTCATAACATAAAAATGGTGTATAACATACAGGCCATCCTTAAGGTTCACACAAATCAGAATTAAGGACCAGCACCAGAACTGGGACTGCAACCCAGGACTGGACAAGCACAGACAAATGTCACCAATGCTAGACTGCTTAGACAGAGCAGTGGAGGAGGTCAGTATGGGAGCTGCAGGGAAGGTATCAATACATCTATAATTTGGAAAAAAACAAGGTAGCAAGAAGACTATAGGAATTACATCAAATCATGGACATTCACTCCATTTAGTCACTTCAGAATAGAAAGACAGTTCTAACATGTTCTATACAACTGAGTCACATTAGGTTTATTGGAAAACATACTGGGGGTAACAAAGGAGTGAAGACACAGTCATGGTATCTGTAGAGTTCCTGCCACTTCGTGTGTCTGAGTTTCTCAGTCTTGCATGCATTTTAGCTTCTGTCAGGTACCGTTGACTTTCCTACAGGAGCTGAGTCATGAAGACACACAGTATGTTAAGAAGCTACTACAGATGGTGTCCATGGCTGAGCTAGAAGCTTCATCCAGACCTCTCAAATCCTGCACGGTATCCTGTACTGTTCAGCATCGTCCTTCTGCACACAGCTTTTTGGATGGCCATGCCATCTGGGGTGCACTGGAAGAGTCATTATCTCAATTTGCAGAGTTCTTCTGAGTTTTTATTTGTATATGATGACTCCAACAAAGATTTCAGAACTCTTAATTGTGAATGCTGAGCAATGCAACCACCTTGACAGGTCCCTGTGCTAACGTGCTTGAAAAGAAGAATGCAAATGTTGTGAAGAACCCAAGATAGGCATGTACCTATTTACGTGTCCCAATAGCAAATACACTTAAAGCATTTACCTTGCTGGGGCCCGCTGGAGTACAGTGGAATTTGCTAGGCATGTTACAAGGCACCACTGAAATTCTGCTAAAATCTAGGAGGATGGGTGGAGGGAATGCTCTAAGTCCTTTGAAAAAGCTGGATTGATTTGATCATTCAACAGACGCACTGCAACTGCCCAGAGTGCACAGGTTTCTGGCACACCACTCTGAATTCTTGCCAGCACACACCAGCTAGATATCTGCAGCATTATCTCGGCTAACAGCTCTAAAAGGGATCCTCTGGCCAGCCAGAATCCATAGAAAACTCATTTCCATGCTGCCAATCACAGAGCAACTTCAACTACTTTAGAGAGAAAACCCAAATTTAATCAAAAATCTATTTATCTTTCTACAGAGTCATGAATATTTCTTTGGCTCTTATCACTAATTATTCAATATACATGTGTCAAGAGCAACATTCCCTGCCTCTTCCCCAACGCCATCTCCTCATCGTTCAGATACATCTCTTTGCAGCAAAAGCCACGCTCTGCCCTTGATAACAAATAAGAATATTGCTCAGCAAGATCAAGAAGCAGTTGCTGCCTGTGGATACAGCTGCAAAAAAACCCACACTGATGTTGGCAGTGTTTATTTCAAAGGTGATGAGGATTTTCCCAGGCTAGTCTGCCTGGGGCGGGAAGGGCTCTCTGAATGGTCATTCACAGCTATGACTCTAGGACACAGTAATCTTAAGGATCTTGGGAGACCTTAGAAAAGCATTTATGTGCGTTTTCAACCAGAGAAAACAAGCCAGAGTGCAACGGTGAAATCCTGGACAGCCCTGGACAGTCAGACACTCAGAAAGAAATGTAGCTATTCTTCATGTATCTATCCTGAATTTCATCAGAGAAACTAGAAAAGTAGTTCTTGACCTGTGCCCATCAAGATACAGCGCAGCTACGGTAGATTGGAGACAACCAGGGCCACACTGCAGGTGTGATGTGCCTGTGTCACAGGTCTCGTTATGTAGGTAAGAGAGACCCACACTGTGCACACACAAATCGACTGCCCATGTACAGTTTATCTGGGAATATACAGGAACTGCTTTTCCAGAGAAGGAGTTGGTTGATAAAGACACACAGGGAAAGCTGTGTGATCCTACTCCACAGTGTGACAAAACGTGTGTTACGCTGCCTGATGGGTCCCCAGGTCCATCAAAGAGGAGTGTCCACGCCTGGGTCCTCCCACCTCATGCCTTACGAGAGTACTATCTGGGGAAGAAGAAAAGCTTCGAGTGCCATTCTTTAGGCCTCACAGCTGGAAGGAGAGTTTCTGCAGAGAGGGAGAAACAAGAAGTCTCCTTCCCTCTGTTCTTCTTATTCAAGAAGTTACCTTGATACAGGAGGTTGTACAGGTGCACTGAAGTCCTCCTGTGTCTAGCTGTTTTTGCTGTTGCTTGAATGCTAGAGTCCCTTCCTCCTCACCTGTTAATCACCATCTCCAAGCTGGCTTTGAGAGCCAGAAGCTACCCACTAGTGCAAAAGGCTGCCTGTGCTTTCCCCCGATGCTGGGTACCAAGGGGCTGAGATGAAGGGGAATGCCAGAGAAGTAGCAAAATAGATAAAGGGAATTCTTCAGGAGAAGGACATACGTTAGAGCATCCTGAGTGGAGACACTGACAGCCACAGCTCACACCGAGGAGTAAAGACAGGGAGAGACAGAAGAAACAGTTCCAGTAGCAGTGGGTAGTTAAGGCTGCAGTGAAGGCAGTAGCTGTAGGTAAGGCTGTAATTAAGGTAGTAGCTGTAGTTAAGGCTGAGTGCTATTTGGCCATTAAAGCTTCAGCTCATTCATTCAGCTTTACATGAGAAAACTCAGCATCTAGTGCTCAGCCATCTTACAGCTGTTTACTCCTCGAGCACGATTACGTTCCTGCGGAATCTGCAAATCAGTTCATTAATTAATCTATCAGTTCAAATAAGACTTGGAACCTTTAAGAATTTTTAATTTAAAAAATGAAACAGACCTCTGTATCAAAAAAGGGCATAAGGATTGCACAGTTAAGTATTCAAAATTTAAGAAGTGCTAAAATAAAGCTTGAGGAGGTTACGCAGGGTGGGGCAGTGGATGTGTTGCTGTCCCCAACGCCTCTGTTTTATGTGTGGCTGAAGTTGGAAAGTCTGTAGCAAGGTGAGGGAAGTTGTGTCAGGAAGGACAACTTGTGATAGAAGCAGCTGAATGACATACTGGAGAATCAAACTGTCTCTGTCCCTGCCACAGAATCCTTCTGTGAGAGAAAATGAACAGGTGTCTGAAACTGAGATGTTCACAGGTAA